TGTGTGTTGCTTGACTGGCTGTTGTGCGGTGTCGTATTGCTTGTGTGGGCTAAATTTCTTGTTGAACATTTAGTCCTCACACTCCCCCCCCCCCACTTCGGAGGTTCAATGCTCCTTCATCCTTGGCTGTATGCGCGCTTTCCCTCTATACACGGTGACCGTGTAGTTCCCTGTGCGGAACCTCTGGCGTGCCCTGCACGTTCCCTGGTCGATTCTCCCGAAGACGCTGCGGATTCTCTCGGCAATTTCCGGATATTGGTCTAACACCGGTCCGTCGACATCACTAGCCCTTCTGGAGGCATCTCTGGCTGCTCCTGTTTTGGCTCCGATTGTGGGTGTGGTGATCCCGGCGGTTGTGTCGGTGAGGCGACAGTAGCGGAGGACCGGGCGGGTGGTGACGGCGGTCGGTTCGGCGTGGCGGTAGTGGCTCTGTCTTGGTGCCGTGGTGAGTGCGGTTGTGACGGCGGCGGTTCCGCGCTTTGGCGCCCATGCGCATGCTATTGGAACGTGGACAATATCTGCGCCCGTTTCAGGGCTGCCATATCGGCCGTGAAAGGCTCTGCGATGCATCCTGGTGCGCCTCTGCCCTGTCCGACAAAGCGCATAACCCTCTCGATGGTCTCCAGAACATATACCCCGCAGTCTCCGTCGTTTTCCTGTTGTGGGACCCTCGGGTAGACTCCTTGAACCTCGAAGCCTACCCCGCCGTGCCTCTGGGTATACTCCCACTGCAGGAACTTCTCCCATATATTTGTTGCGTGGGCGGCTCCTCCCCTCGTCCTAGAGTCCACGGTCCACATATAGCGTTCCCTCCAGCATTCCATGTCAAGGAGGTGGTGGGTGGTCTCCTGGTTCGCCAGTACTAGCAGGTACCAGTGTCCAGCCGTGTTGTGGGGCGCCAGCACCGCCCGCTTGCCAAACAGGTCCGTTTTTCGCAGCCAGCGATGGATGCGCCGATAATGTTCCTCCTGGTTGCCTTTCTGCGTTAGTTGCCACACAACGAAAGGGCTGAGTATGGTGGCCCCTGGTCCCAACTCTGCTTCTAACCCTCTCGCCCATGCGTCCATCACCGCATCTGTCAGCCATCGTGTCCCCTCTAACGAACGCAGGTCCACCGGGTATATTGTGATGCTGCCTGGCCCTGGCGGGTATGCTAGTACTGGCCCTTGCTCCTCCCGCGGCGTTGTCTCTTCCCCTGAGGAGAGTTGGATGGCCGGTGATGTTGTTCGCCTCGCGGGTATCTGTTCGCTGGCCGGAGTGGCCGACGGGTCAACTCGCCCCTCGCTCGAGTCGTCCGAGCTGTCACTTGAACTAGTCGCACTTCCGCTTGAGCTACTGCATTCTGTTGAGTTGCTACTCGTGGAACTCTCTTCGGTACTGCCGGCTCGCTCTGCTGCGACTATCAAGGCATTGCGCGTATCGGCCGTTACCCTGCCGAGAATACACTGGGGCGTTGGTACGGTACGCCTGATAGGGTGCGCCCTTGCGGCGGCTTCTGCCCAGGCGGCGGTGCGCCCGGCGACTTGTTGGTGGTAGACGGCTCGTCGAGCTGCCATATGTGCGGCGGTTGTATGCGTGACGGTCGAGTGTGTAGCGGCCGTGAGTGCGCGCGTAGTGCTGACACCGGTATGTACGGCGGATCCTGGCGTGGTGACGTAGGAGGGCGTGCTACTGACGCTGCTGGGTGCAGCGACTGCGGTAGGGGCAGCGGATATCCGCTGTCTAGTTTGCACATTAGTCATGTGCGCTGCGGCGTCGTGGATGGAGGCGACGCGTGTCGTCCCGACTGCAGCGTGGGCGTTGACTGCCCTTATGGCTGCGGCGCGGCGCGCGGTGGTGCTATCCGTAAGCTGCGTGTGTCGCGCGGCGGCGCGTGCCGTCGCGGCGTTTCGTATGCCGGTAGTGGGCTGTGACCCCAGTACCTGGGTGCGAGGACGTTTCGCTTCCTCCTCCTCTATGCGTTCGCGTATGCGTTTGACGCTGTTCGCCCACTTGTTGTTGACTTCCATTTTGATGTTGTTATTTATTTATTTTTTATTTTTTTTTCCTCTGGTAGCTTCCGAAATTCCGATGTTCGCTCTCCGGTGGTTCGCGGTTGAATGGCTGGTTGGAGTAGCTTACGAAATTAAAGTTGGTTAATTAATTCAATTATTTGTGTGGTCGTTCCTTTTTTTTTTGTGTCTCCTTGTGTCTATATGGCCTCGCTGGTATGATACGTTTTTAATTCCGCGATATTGGCCGTCTTTTCCCTTCCTCCATCGGTCTTGCGTAACTGGACGATCATCGGTGATATGTACCTCAGGATTTTGTAGGGGCCGTCGTATTTGGGGGCCAATTTCGCTGCGAATCCGTCCGCGGCCTTGGATAGATGGTGTTCCTTGGCGAGAACTAGTTCGCCAACCCTAGGAGTTCATTTTCGCCGTCTGAGGTTGTAGTGGCGGGCCTGATCCGTCGCCGCTCTCTCCATATTTTGCCGGACAATCCTGAATGCCTCCTGCATCCTACTTGACTTCTCCTCGGCAGTAGGGGGAACAGTGCCTGTCCCGATGTTGACCTCGTCAAAGAGTACTCCAGGTAGTCGTGGCTCACGCCCTTGGACGAGAAAAGCTGGGCTGTACCCCGTAGAGGCGGTGACGCTGGTATTGATGGCTAGCTCGATTTCGGGGAGGAGGTCATCCCATCGCTGGTGTTGCGATCTAGTGAGCTGAGCTATTATTCGCTTGACCGTTCGGTTAGCGCGTTCCGTTGGGTTCTTCTGGGGGGTGTATGGCGCGGTAAACTGTTGTCGTATTCCCACCTCTTGGAGGTAGCGCTGCCACAGCGTGCTGCTGAACTGAACGCCGTTGTCCGAGATGAGGATCTTCGGAACGCCAAATCTAGCTAGGATTCGTTCTCTGAATGCACGGCGCAGTCCTTCTGCCGTGGCGCGTCTCATTGGGACTAGCTCCACCCATTTGCTGAAGCGGTCGAAGAATACCAATAGCATGGTGATGCCATGTGTAGATCGCGGTAGGGGTCCGACGAAGTCTGTGCAGACCGTCGCGAAGGGCTCCGAGGCCACCTGTGAAAGCATTTTTTCCCGCGGGTTTCTGTTGTCCTTCCTTGTATTTTTGGCAGGAATCACACTGGCGCACGTAGCGGCTGATGTCTCGGAACATACCTGGCCAATAGTATCGGTTGGCGATCCGTGCCACTGTCCGTCGGTTGCCCATGTGGCCGGCGCTGGGTACATCGTGGTTCTCCTGTAGTACTCGCTGGCGAAGGGGGGTTGGTACACATAACTTCCAGGGCACTGTTTCCTCATCCTGGCTTCGGCATGGGATATGGCGGTAGAGTTGTCCGTCCTGCACCATATAGTCAGCGTATTTCTCCGGGTTTGCGCGCACTTCGCCCACGCGCTTATGCCACCACTTGCATTGTGGCTCCGTCGTTATCACTTGCTGAAGGGTCTCCAGTGGTTGCCGTGATAGTGCGTCCGCGACTAGGTTGAGCTTCCCTTTTCGATATTCTATATCGAATATATGCTGTTGTAGTTCTAGGGCGCACCTCGCTATACGGCCAGAAGGGCTCTCGATAGAGTTCAGCCACTTCAACGACATGTGGTCGGTGATCACCTTGAACCTGTATCCCTCTAGGTAGGGCCTCATCTTCCCCAAACAATGGCAAGACACTCCTTCTCTTTGCTCAATTTCCTGCTGGCATAAGATATTACGCGTTCGCCTCCTTCTAATTCTTGTGTCAATACCGCTCTCAAGCCAAAGTTACTAGCGTCCGTCTGTAGGGTGAATTTCTCGTTAAAATCCGGACAGGCGAGTACGGGGGCCTCGGTGAGCTTCCGTTTGAGGGTGTCGAAGGCCTCTTGTTGTTCGACTCCCCACTTCCAATGCTTACCCTTTTTCAGGAGTGCAGTTAGTGGTTGGCTTAACGTGGCGAAATCGGGCACGAAACGACGGTACCACGATGCTATCCCGAGGTATTGGCGTACTTCCTTCACGTTAGACGGTGGTTTTAATTCTCGGATCGCGGCCACCTTCTCGGGATCGGTGTGGATTCCCTTTTCACTTACCACATGACCCAAGTATCGGAGTTCCTTCTTGAAGAAGTCGCACTTCTCGGGGTTGATGCGGAGATTCGCGCGTTGTAGTCGTGATAGTACTTCCTGTAGGTTTTGTATATGCTCCTCGAAGGTGGAGCCTATGACGATGATGTCGTCTAGGTAGGCGAAAGCGTGGGGCTCCATTTCTGGGCCGATGACCTGGTCGAGTGCTCTTTGAAATGTTGCTGGTGCGGAGTGTAGGCCGAACGGCATGACACGCCATTGAAATAGTCCGCGCCCCGGCACGGTGAAGGCTGTGTACGGGCGACTGTTCGGTTCCAGGGGTATCTGCCAGTAGCCGTTATTGAGGTCTAGGCTGCTGATGTACTTAGCCCGCCGTAACTTGTCCAGTATCTGTTGTATTCTGGTTAAGGGGTATGCGTCGGGTACTGATCGGGCATTTAGTTGCCGATAATCCACGCACAACCTCCACTTACCATTTTTCTTCCGAGCCAACACG